GGAGTAAATGCTGAGATAGCAAAGAAAACATACGTAGTCCATAAAAGTTTCTCCAACCATGCCACCCTCGTCTTCTTCACGTTCTACTTCAATGGCCACCTGAAACATCACGATGCAATGTTGAGAACTAAAAAATATGGAACAAAGTTTCCTATACGATATAAATAAGGTCGATTGGTGTATACACATCATCTGGTCAGAAGAGAGCGGCAGAAATAATTAACCAGAAGAGTTTGCAATTATTGAGCCTGATCCATCAAAAATTGTTCCATAAGTTCTAATTGTTGAGCACAACCTTTCTCATTAGAACACTATTCTGGTGATACAGAAAATGCTACTTAGACTTGTACTTTTCTACTATATATAAATGAGGAGGGGATGAACACTGAAGTGCACAGTTATACCAAAAGTAACAAATATTTACGAAGGGGATGTACGAACATTGCACTGGGCAATTGTACCAAAAGTAATATAAACTATACACTTGAACCTTACTCTTTTTTATCATACATGGACATATGTCTTTGGTACTGAATATCTTTTCTCTTCTCTTATATACACTTCAATTCAATTCTCCTCTTTTTCGTGACACGTGTTTACCTTTTTATTTCCCATTTTCCTTCTGCTTCTTTGTTCCTTCTTTAGTGGATGGTTCTTTGTATAGTACAATTTCTATGGTTCCTTCTTCTATTTCTACTCTCACTTATGTCTTTATATTTTGCTGTTACTAATTCTATTACTATTTGATATCTTAAGCAGAGGATATAAAATTCCTCAACAAGAAGTTGTTGCAGTGTTAACCCTAAATTAGTCTGTGCTTATTGATCGATTTTTGCTGAATATCAATAATGTTATGGTGAGGCTCAACTGTTTACGCTACACCTGATCTTCATTGGTCTTGGTGTTAACCTCTTTGACACAGTGCTGTCCATTACTCCCTCCATTTCAAAAAGAATGGCATAGTTTAATTTGGAACGGAGTTTAAGAAAAGAAAGAAGAGTTCTAAATCTTGTGGTTCTAAATAAAAGTTATGTCAAATGTACCAAAATGTCATTTAATCTTGGGCCTTAAACATGTCACATCAAAAGTTGAAGCTAAAGTGTTGACAAAAAAAAGGGGGTCATTCTTTTTTAAACACACTAAAAGAAAACTAGGTCATTCTTTTTTAAACGGAGGGAATATTATTTATTTTCAGCATTTGCTTCATATTTTTGTCAACCCTCTGTCCCTCCATGAGTTTTATCAGTTTCTCCGTGCATCACCCTCTTTCCCAAAAGGTTGATTGTTTCTTTTGTTTCCGTTTGGGTGTCTCTACAAAAAATTATTGTAAGTTAATGCTAAACTGATTTAATGCCTAATTTTTGTTTTTGCTTCTTATGAGCTAATGTTGAGATCTAATGTGCGAGAGATAATTTGTTGGGCATTAATAAACCAGATAGATGTTGGATACGGAAATTAATTTTTTGCTTCTGACTAGGCATCATCAACATAAGGCTACCGGGATCTATAGAGGATTGGGCGTCTTTTGTAGAGAACCATATCTTTTGTAGATTTTTACTTTTTGGTATACTTCTTGTATACAGCAGATTTTTTTGGCCTTTTGGTTTATAATATGAAATTGTTTACCTGTAGTTAAAGCAAAGAATTTTGCATAACAGGGTACATATAGAGATTCCCATAAAAAAAACTACATGTTACTTGTTAGAATCTACATTAGAGGAAACAATAACTATCACTAGACCTACAAAGAACAATATTGATAACTGGTCATTTGATAACACAATAGTGAAAGGGAAGAAGAAAAAAAATGGAAGGATTTGTATGCCAGAGGAAGGACACCATGTCGACACAACAGGGGTGTGGGTACGGGATCCACACCAGATTTGGTCAACTTACCTTGGGTGCCTTGACTACATCCATGACCAAGGCGAGAAGTTTAGATTGATATATATATATATATATATATATATATCGCGTAATGCGATAAAAGGTTAGTAGGTATAGAGTGTTGTCTTGATTTTTGAGGGGTTTAGCTGTTTTCTAATAGAATCTGGCTTCTGATTCCAGCATTACTTGTTGTTGATTGTGTTTAGCTTATTGCATTATTTTGTGGTTGTTACTGTTTCCTTATTAGTTGTTTTGTTTCTCCACTATCATTTCCCCTCTTTTTTTTCATTATTTTGATATGTTATACTCGAGCCAAGGGTCCCCACTTAACTCAAGGATACTTCTTCACCTCCTATGTTCATACCATCAGACGTTCCTCAGCATTCTTTCCAACTTTTGCACCACACTTACATGGATGAACATCAACGATATATAATAGATTGGTATGTTAGAGAAGTTGTTGAGCCACTATCTTCAATAAGGAGATTCAAAACAAAGAAAGTAAACAAACAAAGAAGCCAAAGGGATTCAACATCTACTATATATTAAAGAATAGCCTTAAACTTGCATGTACAATGTAGTATACTTTTCCAAAAGAAAAGGGATCCAGGTGAATCCCTTGCACCCTCCTAGCTCCACCCTACTCTCTATCAAGATTCAAAGCTACTTTCCTTATGAAAGTTTTCTTTTTTGGGCACCATGCAAGATGTTTCTCAAACTTCTCTATGATAGGATTCTACACAGCATAATCCTTATAAGATGCTCCAACAGATATGTCTGGCATTCAAACTTTGTCAATAACCTTCTAGTTGATTTTTTATACCTTAAGCTACTTAGAAATCAACTAATTGAAATATATGGTTGTTTAGCGAGGCTAGCTTTATGTGGAAAATTTTGGTTAAGAGCAACAAAAAAACAGTTAGTATGGTTAAAGTAAAACTGGCAACCACGCGCAATACATAAAATAAAAGCCATCCAATAGGTACTAATCTCATCGTGGCAGAAAAGGAATAACGAACACTGATTTTGGAAATCCCATAGAAATCCCAGTGTAATCCCACAAGTGGGGAAGTTCAAAAACATTGCCTTCAAATTTTGGTTATTTTGTTAAGAATACAATAAAATGGGGTTGGGAAGATTAGTTTTGACTGAAAACCTCATTGACTTCTTCCTCAGGCAGAGGTGGCGCAGGGGGACGGGGAGCAGCAGGATTCGATGACGACTGAGGAAGAAATTGCCTAATCTTAGATACATCAACGGCAAGGTCGATCCCACATTGAGGGCAGGAGAAGCGAGACAGGCCGTGAGGGACATTGAGTATAGCTTTGCAGTGAGCGCAGGGCAACTGGATCTTGGTAGGATCAATTCCATGAGCCAGGGCACTGCTTCGCTGCTGCTGAGGCATGAGTTCCGGAGGTAGCATCTGCGGCAATTGACAAGTAGGGCATATAAACTCTGTCAGTCCGGGAGCGACTGTCAAAATCATCTTACAACCAGCACATCGAACTTGACAACCTCCTCCACTATCTGAACTACTCGCCGACGGTGGTGGTAGAGATGGAAGATTAACTGAAGGTGTCGGCACCGATTGCTGTCCCATATTATTACTATATGTATTAACAAACGTTGAAATCAAAATGTACTGAAATGTTGTGACTGAATTCAGTAGTGACGATGCGAGAACAGAAGTTTCCGTCAACTAAACAGCCGGCGGAGGAGGCCGGCGATGTCCGGTGAGTTTTGGGTTGTCCTTAATTCATGGGCTTTGGGGCTGATGCTCCCGCTTCCGGCGAGTCGCAATACTTTACACAGATAAATGGACGAGTGAGTTTTTATTTGAGTTGTTTGGCCCATAAAAGAATGGAAAATGGCTAAAGTTACCCCTAATGTATTAAGAATGACACATAAATATCCTCGATTAATTTTTTTTTTACATTCTTTATTTGATAGCTAGTTAGAGTTATGTAAATAGTGATGTAGAAATTATTATGAGCGAATTTATGTATAATGTATTAATCATGCACATGCAGGGATTAGTTATTCATAAGATTGTTATTATACATTTCATCTTGCATAAAATAATATGTAAATATTCTTGCAACATATACATATAACCAGGTATTAGTTATATGGGATGTTTAATCAAACGTTTTATGAATTCTATAATTAATAACTTATTTTCTTTCTATCAATCACATGTTGATTAAGTTACATGAAAATTAATATATAAATAACTCATTTCTTATCTAATTATCAAAAGACTCCTAAAGAAAAAGATTATGGAGAATATGGGAGACATGGAAGTTAGAAGAAATAGAGATCATTGAGGAGGTGGAACACAATAGTGAATCGTAATGGAGAAACTACATTTAATAGTGGACATTCACATCAAATAAAATATTCAGAACTTGATATTTCTAAATTTGAACGTGATAGATTGATATTAAAATAAAATTCATTTATTTAAAAAATTTACTCGCCTGATTCATTGACCCGTTTTTCAAAAGTTTGAGCTCACGATTAAATCTCATCTCTTATTTAATAACTATAATTTTGCAACTCTTAAATAACTTTAAAAATCTAATTTATGATTGTAATTATACAAGCTAAAGATAAAGCGATATCAAAATTGTATAATTCTCGCCAACAACTCATTAGTGATTATAATACTTAAGCTCATGAAAAAAGGGCTTTTTTTCTGGTATGTCGCTCCTCCAGCAAGGAGCGAGAGAACAAATTCTAACCTATTATATCACCTTTTTTCTTTAGAGGCGTTCAAACAATAAAAATAACAAAAACAATCTATCTCAATGACATTCTTTATCTTGATTAAAAAAAGAAGAGTAAATCTTTTGTCCATGATTCCTTTTGGTGCACCCATAGTATTTCTTTTGTTTATAAGATTAAGGTCATATTAAGATGTGTGAATTTGAATAAGTATCTGAATATCCATTTTTTTATAATAAGATTGAGGTCTCATATTAAGATCTCATAAGATGTGTGAATTTGAATAAGTATCTGAATATCCGTTTTTTATAAGTTCTCTACATTTTGATATACTTCTTGTTTTCAACTAGCTTTTTATTGCTCAATTCAATAATAAAATTGTTACCTTATCAAACAAAGAAACTTCGCTAGATTTTTCTTTCATCTGGACTAAGCCAATGATCTTGAATAATTCATGGATTCAACTCAACATAAATATTATTTTGAGTAAAGGTCCTTGATGCAACTAGTATGTATGTCATTACACTGTGATTTTGTGTTCTGGCCTGTGAGTAAACTCGAAGTCAATATGGACGAAAGCACGCTCTACTTCAGGGAGTTGCTCCAGTTTTTCTTGCAGTGTTTCACCAATATTATGTGCCTGATTCAGAAACATGTCCTCTGGCAACACTATATCAACTTCCACAAAGTAATTTACGCCAAAAGTATATGCTCTAACCGTGTCAATGTGCTTGATCTCTTCATGATGATTCCATATAAGATAGGTTAATTTCGTAAGGAAGTCTGGTGGAGCTGTTCTTCCTATGAGTGAGCAGACATTTTCTGCTACTGTCCTCGCCCACGTGCTAATTGTGTACAGAGCTATCTGAAAGTACAATGTGTTATATATATATAAAGACTTTTAAGATTATCAGCAGTGTGAAACAATGTCTTGCTACTAATCGAAAGTTGTGACTTGTGATTGTGAACTCACTATGATAGCTCCTGCAGGATCGATCCACCAGTAGAATCGGACTGCTAAGACAGCAGTCACTAATCCAACTGAGTTGGTTATGACATCAAAGAAATGGTCTTGGGCATAAGCTCTTACAATTTCATTTTTGAACCTTCTACAGTAGACCATAAGCAGAAACTTGACCATTGTGACCGAGACCATAATCCCAATCGTCCATTTTTCCTTCTCGTGATCCATCTCAGGGCGAGACTGATCTCATACACATAGATAGAACCATCCAAACAACAAATGCAGGTTAACAAGTCAAGTGTAATGCAGTTGCTAGTGAAATTGCAATATCTATTCAACAGTAGAAGTACCAAAACCTATCGTTTTGCCCTTCCGTTTCCTAGTATTTCAAAATCGAGGGACAAATTCTAACGATTGATCTCTAGTAGTACGAATTCAAATTTTCAAAACTCAATCATCATAAGGTAGCAGCTGCTGTGCAAAATCCATTCTCAGCAATTGACATACCTGATTTATAAGTTCTTTTGCAGACTCAAACAGTATTTGTAATCCTAGTGTTGCCATTACAGATGCAAAAACAATAATACCCTGAACGAAATAGCAATGAATGAGTTAAGAAAACAATAGAACAAATGAATTAAACTGAGTATGATCACGCACCACAGGCTGCATCCTTTTTTTCCCAATAGGATAGTGATACTGATTTGGATTTCTCATGGCATTAGAAGTAAACCACAGAATAAACCCGGATAAAAGGTCTAACAGAGAATCCAACGTCGATGCTATAACAGCCAATGATTTACTCTGAACAGATGCGTATATTTTTGCTACGAATAGTAACACATTAGCCATGTTTGATAAATGAATAGCCATCCTTTCACTCCTAGCAAGCTGCTTCATTTCGTCCTGATAAAGTACACAATGATTACAAGAGTCAATTTACGCCTTCTCGAGCAATTTAAAGAAACAAACAAACAAACCTCAGTTAGACTTGCAGGTAAACAACCAGATTCATTAATGGTATCCATCTCATTGAACCCTTCTACAAGCCTTTCCTGCCTTTTGTAATATTCCGCGATTTTACCCTGTTTCCCTGTAAATTATCACGCAATAGAACAGAAATCGCGACTGGAAAATGAATTCCTACTTACTTTTTGAATTTCGAAATTCAAACAAGTTTATAATTGACTGTATTTTACATTTGAAGATTTATCCCCAAATTAAACTATTTGACTCTCAAAATTTGAACTGTGCTACATAAATTGGAATTGTTTGAAGATTACAAGCCCAAATTAAACTATTTGACTCTCGAAATTTGAACTGTGCTACATAAATTGGAACAGATACATACTGGGAGTGGGAAGGAGACGACGGACACTGAAGCAGCGAGGATCAGAGCGTCGTTGCTCTGGAAGATGAAATTCACTAACGTTAAGCCTCCATGACGCGGAAGATGATGACTGAATCTGATCAACCACCGCCTGGGCAGCCGGAGACAGCAGTTCCGTCCTAAAACTGTCGAACAGAGGGCCGTCATTGCTGCCGCCACCAACATTACTCCGACTGATCTCCATGTTTATAGTAGTCGTAATAGTTACGTACTGATATTACTGAACAATTAGTTTTTCTGCTGTTTATATAGTAAGAGTCATCATCTTTATGGTTATTGTTAACCACAATATTTTTATGATAAAATCAGTTAACAATGCATTTTTATATTTGAAAGTTCTTATATATATATAAAAATGTTTTCGTTCTTCTTAATTTACATGTAAAATCAAATAGCTGAGGAAATGAAAAAGGCATTAAAATACTTGCAAAAAAATGAATTAAATTACCCTAGTACATGTTAGTATGGACGTAGAATTGGATTATAAAAATATTGTTTTACTTAACAGTCATCATGCATTTGATATCTACTCCATTGCAGCACGACAACAGTCATCTATCCATATCTATGTTCTGACTATCAATAATGTTCTCACTTATCCGTCTCATTTCGAGAGGATTAATAATGTTCTCATTTATCCGACTCATTTCGAAAAGATCAATAATATTCTCACTTACCCTTTAACATAATTCAAACTTTTAACCGATCAGATCAGTGATGACTGTTCAACTACTTGAGCAAGTCTGTATAAGTCGTCATTTAATTAAAGTTAGATACTTTCTTCTTTAATAATGATAAAGTTATAGTACTCCTTTTGAGCACGTAGTAGTTTGAGCAAATTTCTATATTTGCCTCAAGAAATATATTAGATATGTATAAGTTATTAATTTAAAACTCAATAATTCGAATGGACTACAACTCTTAACCCTTAAGTGAGTACTAGTAAGTCTTATCAGATAAGAAATACGGAGTACGTAGCATTCAAACTTTAATTGGCAAAAAAACCAACTACTCCACATATAACATTGCTGCGTGAATCTTGCAGCCTTTTTCTTCTTTTACTAGCTTTATGATGCGTCATTCTCCATTATACATTTAAAAACAAGGCATGAAAGTGAAAAAGAATATGCACTAAACATTCGTTTTTTTGTCCTTTTCTATTCCAAGTGCTTCATAAAGCACAAATTGGAAGCACCACTCATCCTACAACTACAAGTAGATTACAAATCAGAGACACTTGTTTTTAAACTATTTAGTTTTTGATATATATAAGCCTTCACGATGACAATGTGAATCAGAGAATCAAGAGTGTAATTGTAGCAGTTAGATATCATCTATTAAGTTCAGAAGTAATCGGCAAATTAACAAATTGTGTGCTCTCCTTTTAAGCAAGAAAATTGCCACTTCTCCATAGTAGCAAGAGTATAAAATTACATCCTTGTGAAAAGACAGCATATAATCAATCATACATGTCCAACTGTTTAATTATTGTAAACTAAAGTACGATAGTAATGAAACTCAATCCATAACCAAAATGGAGCATTCTACTCCACAACTTTTTCAAATACAAAATATTGCTTGCGCCAAACTCTGCAGTAGCTAGTATTATATTGTATTTCAATGGATGGATGCAACCAACGCCATGTGCTCGATGAGGTCCAATACTCGGTTGCTGCAAAGGTTAAGATTACAATACAACTTTGTCAACAGTTATGTGATATAGTAGTATGGACAAGGTTTCAACTCATTTTTTGTCATTTAACTTTCTTGTTTGGGATGGTTGGTTCAGAGATAAAAAGTCATACCTGTAACCCCACTCGTTATCATACCAGGAGACGAGCTTCACGAATGATTTGCTCAGGCCTATACCAGCTTTAGCATCAAATATGCTTGATCTACATACCAAATTAATTAATTAGAAATTCAGCATAGCTTCAAATCAGTAGTTGTAGTAGTATATCATTCAAAATTAAAACTATTAGCAGTTTTGTCCACTTATATCCTACACGGCACTGTCCTCTAATACTCGTGTCCTCAGTTCATAGCACAACCCTTTTATCTTTGGATAATTATACTTTAGTGTACCACTTAATGATGGCACTGCCAAATGACTAATTTATATATAAATGTCGTTACTTATCAGGAGGAATTTTCTATTATTGTTAATAAATCAATCTGGCATCATATTAAAAAACGTGTTGTTTATTCAGCAAAAGTTGAGATATTGGCTACTCCAAAATACTATTACACTTAGGGGTCGTCTGGTAGGGTGTCTAAGAATAGTACCGGATAGGATGTAACGTAATGTTGGGATTAGTTTTTAGCCACTTTCGTTTGGTATATTCAATGAAGTTCTGTATTTAAATATCCATGTATTATAAACCCTGATATTGCTAATACTATGGGTTGCTACTATGTACACCCCCATATAATTATTAGTTATACATACCTTGAAAACACTATCAAACAAGGTATTATACCATTATATTGAGAGTTCCATCATTCAGACAGACAAGACAGATGCCAGAGGCAAGAAGCCCACAAACACAATTCAAAGGGAAGTGTGCTTTCAACCTAAGCTGGTGACTTTCCTTGCCGTTCTGTGTCTTGAGCCACACAGTCCTCTAGCCCTGCCCCCTTTCCACAAGTGAATTCTCCTTCTAGTCTCTGACTTCATGAGAAAAGTAGTAGTTGGCTAATAATGTACTACTCCCTCCGTCCCATTTTATGTGGCACCATTTCCTTTTTGGTCAGTCCCAAAAAGAATGTCACATTTTCTTATATGGTAAGTATTTAAAGGTACAATTCCTCTTTTACCCTTGTTGGTCCCACTTAAGTACTCTAATACATTTATGAGGAGAGAGAAAGGCGAGTTTACTTTTTTGAAGGGCAATTTGGTAAACATTTCAAAGTCTTCATTATTTCTTAAACTCCGTGCCGGGTCAAATGTTGCCACATAAAATGGGACAGAGGGAGTATTATTTTATCTATTACATCCTACCAAACAGCCCCTAAGGTTAATCATGTCTTACACAAGCACCAGAAAGCTCAGATATTAGTATTACTTCATCATCCTTTATTCAGATGAAGGTCAAAAGTGTCTTATACAAGAGCACCAGAAACTCAGATACTTTATCCTCCTTTATTTTATAAGACGAGCTTGACAAACAACCATATAATCATATGTAGCTAAGAAGAGGAGAGCATATCAACCTTTCTCCTCTTCAATACCTAAAGCCAACTTTTGAAGACGACAGACATTCCGCTTGCATGCATAATTTAATGAGCTGTTGCAAGAAATCTTCCACTTCCACAAAATAAAGAAGAGAACGAACAGTCATGCAAATCCCCTAACAATTTCTGTATATAGAGGGACATCTTGCTTTCCCCTAATAGTGTTTCACCGTGAAACTTCAGAATGAGAAGTTAAGATCACACATAAATTATTTCAAACCGAGAAATTCCTGAGGGCCAGCTGGTGCATGGTTTGAGACTCGGTCGATAATCGACCTGCACTCTTCTACTCTTACTCACTTAAATACCCGGATTTGACTGCACCAGGGTTTGAACTCATGACATGCACCAAAACCCAGTGCTCTAACCACTATACAAAAGCCTGTGTGGCAGACAATCAATTATTTTACAGAAAAACATTCAAGAGAACGACTGCAGAATACGGGTGAATTTTATTTTACAATTTCTTTTTAAAAAAATATGTTTTTGTTTGTGCTCTTTTGGGCTCATGAAACTGGAAGTCTCTGAGTAGCACATCTACCCGGGGGCAATAATGGAGTGATAATTATCCACAACCATTAATATGTTTTACATTTTATCTCGTCAAAGGTGCAACAGGAAACAGATATATGGAAGCATTCAGAGAATATGAACTTCTAAATCACAATAGATCTCCCTGGCTATATGACCACTATTCCCTAAGATTACCGAGTTAGAGATCAAAAGAGGAGAATGAGCAAATCTACCTGGAATCGCCAACAAAATCATTTGAGACAACATCCTCGTCTGTGTAACCCAAAATGCCTTTAAGTGGACCCTCCGATGCATACCTAGAGCAAAGAAAGCACTAAATCAGGCAAAGTGGCCCAAAAACACGATTACCCATTAAACAAGAGCCAGATGATAGAGCATATAGAAAGCGTACTTTATCGCTGCTTTCACATCATCATAAGAAGCACTTTTATCTAGCCGGCAAGTCAGGTCAACAACAGAGACATTAGGTGTTGGGACACGGAAAGCCATTCCAGTGAGCTTCCCATTCAATTCTGGCAGAACTTTTCCTACAGCCTATAATCAAAGAGGAACATTAATCTTCCATCACGAAATTGAACTTGCCCCTCTCTCTCCCACCCCAATAACCAAAAAAAAAAGGAAAGAGAATCAGAAAAGGTAAATAATATATCAAGAACTTATGTAATACCTTAGCAGCACCAGTTGAACTAGGAATGATGTTTTGTCCAGCACCACGGCCTCCTCGCCAATCCTTCATTGATGGCCCATCAACAGTCTTTTGGGTAGCTGACCATGATATCAATTTAAATACAACATCCAAAGAATGTAAACAAACAAAAGAGAAGGTAGACATGGTTTACATGTGTGTTAAGCAAGAAGAGACATACCTGTTGTTGCATGCACAGTAGTCATTAATCCCTCAACAATGCCAAACTCTTCATGAACCACCTGCAACGAGAAACAGCATGGGAAAGACCGTCAAAAGTGGAGAACAAGCAAATCATGTGTGGTTGTTCAATTAAACCAGTTGTTAAGCCAAACCTTGGCAAGGGGAGCAAGGCAATTGGTAGTACAGCTAGCGTTAGAAACAACATCCATGTTGGCTTTGTAAGTTTTCTCATTCACTCCTACCACAAACATAGGTGCATCAGCTGATGGTGCTGAGATTACGACCTTTTTTGCACCACCCTGCACAATCAAACAAAAAGTATCAACACAAGAGCTGCATGAATAAGGTGGGCAAAGAAAGAGCGTTTAAGGCCAGCAATTGCATGTCCTCCACCTTCTTATGTGCTGATGCCTTATCAATAGTTGTGAAGACACCAGAAGATTCAACAACATAATCTGCACCTAAATCACCCCATGGAATATCTGCGGGATCCCTGCATCAAGAGAAGTTTGCATGAGGGATAGCAATAAACTAACATGATTTATCTTTTTTTTTGTTTTACTTGTACCTTAATTAACATACCTTTTGCTACTGACTTTAATCTGCTTCCCATTGATTTCCAAAGTAGAGTCATCCAGGACACTGATGGATCCACTGTAGACTCCATGAGTGGAATCATACTTGAGCATGTAAGCCTAAAATGAACAAACAGAAAATATCACATCTTTAACCCAGAAGGTGTTTTTTTTCTTTTGATATGATCAAAACCCCTGTGGCTCATCCTCACTTTAATCCCTTAGTGATAAATACATTAGAGATTCTTCACTGATTCATTGCTAGGCTATCCCTCCCTTGTCAGCTATACCACAGAGAGCTAAAAATCTACTCGCAGAAGCACATAAAGGACAATTGAGAAGGAACTCTTGTGCAGGAAAGGAAGGTGTGGTCCCATCAAAAGATGAAAGCACCAAATAGACCACTAGAGGAGGAGGAGGAAGAAGTACTTCATAAATGCAGAAACAAAAAGAAATATAATGAACTATTTGTTTAATGATGGTGCTTTTTAAATGTATCCTTGTTAATATCAGGAAAGTTCATTCAATTGACAACCCTTCCTATTAAGGTGTTAATACTTAAGTTCGACATACTAACATCAGCAGAAGTCCTAGCGAGGCAATATTAATTTCTACAGAGCTTATACAACGGGGGAATTAACACTACCAATCCCAATTCCATGCAGAATCACACACCATATTTTCATGGGATACATTCTTACCATATACTTTGCATCGATAAATGGGTCATTAACTGCGACCACTTCAATATCATCCCTGAATGTTGCAATTCGTAATACCAATCTCCCAATACGTCCAAAACCTGCAATGTTTGAAAAACTTAGACATACATTTTCTGCAGGTACTGTAACAACCATATATGTTCACACTAGAAATTTGATATAAACTTCTACAAGTGACAGAAAATCAAGAGAACATCTTAAACAAAGCAGCTAATATTTTCAACTCTAGAACCTTGAGAACTACATAATCTAAAGCAAAACGAAGCAACATACCATTGATGCCAACCCTTGTCTTCCCACCAGTTTGTGACCCTGAGCAAATGCCAAACAAATTCAAGCATATCAACAACACATCCATTTGATCATCAAAGCACAACGTTTAAACTTAGAAATGTAAAAAAAAAATTACTTGGAACTGTTGGAGGCAGCTCAGTAGCAGTTGCTCTGATAGGTTGAATACTGCAGGCACCAGATTTTCTGCAGGTTTAACTTTTGTACATCAGCTCTTTTCTCTTTACTTAGTAACGAAAATCAAAGATATTTAAACTCAACAACTCACTGTAAAGACGAAGATTGCAAAATTGTCACAGCATCTCCGAAGATAGACGATTGTAATTTAACAGAATTACTACTATGATGAAGTCCTGCACATGATACCTGAACAAACTCATAAAAAGTCAAAACACTTCCATTAATACATAAACTAAAATAAATAAATCAAAATGCAGCTGAAGAAATTCAGATCGACTGGTAACAAAGCTTATAACGAACGCAAACAAAACAAAGTTGAAGAAAATGAAAGATAGATCCGAATAACAGCATATTTACCTGAGATCGATGTGAAGGTCGAACAAAGGAGGCGGCAGGTTTGAGAAGAGAAGAAAAAGCCATTGTAATGAATACGAGAGAGTTTGGTGAATCTCTATGCAACAGTGTTTATATACTATTGTCAAAAACCCTAGACAAACGAGAAAAAAAAAAAGGAAATGAGAAAGTGAGCGGAGATTCTAAGAAGCTGTTGTATTGTTGTACAGTATAGAGGGAGGGGAAGTGACCAGCTGAACCCATAATGGGCCGGGCCGGTCCGGGCCGAATATATATAACACATGTTGGAGTTGACTGGGCCGACAGATGGGCCCGGTTACATGTCTATTTAATTGGATTTTGCCTTTTTGACATGTTAACTTCAAATGTTCTTTATGACCTTTTTGAGTTTTTTTTTTATTTATTTATAAAAACTCATGTTTCATGTGGGGAGAGAAATGGACATAAACAAAATAAAAATGGTACCACCTTCAAAATCGAATCCACAAAATTATTGATCTATCGGTAAATTGAATTATTAATGTAACGATTTTGATAATGATTTTTTTTAATTATTATTATTGGATGTTTGTTTTTTAATTGTTTATTGACTTATCTGTAAATGAATTATTAATGTAACGATTTCGATAATGATTTTTTTTAATTATTATTATTGGATGTTTGTTTTCTAATTGTTTATTGACTTATCAGTAAATGAATTATTAATGTAACGATTTCGCTAATGATTTTTTTAATTATTATTATTGGATGTTTGTTTCCTAATTGTTTGAAGTATTTCTTAATGGGTTATTTGATTTATAAGTTAAATAATTATATTTATATTGTAGTTTCATATTTTTATCTTAGGTTGTCTCGATTTTTTTTATTATTTTAAAATGTGACAGTATTTTGATTTTGAGTTTTGAGTAAGATGCATTTCTCGATCATATGATTGAAAAGATGAACCAACATTATTAATATGAGTCATTTATTGAACAACTTAGTCGGGAAATAAATTTGATTAAAAAAATAAAGAATTTGGTGGATATAAATGGTAAAGTATGAAATGATTTGAAATAATAATATATTTTATGTTGATTAGAATAATCGTTATATAAGTTTAAGTGATTTAAAAAGTAATGATATAAATTATAGATTTTATTTACAAATGAAATACATGATTAGTAGATATTATTTTTACAAATCTAAATTTATGAGTCAATTTTCGTATTAATCTTTTTTTCAAAAATCGCGATATAAAGTAAAACCAACTAAAATTATATATTTAAACACCTACTAAAGTTTAAAATGAATTATATAAATTGAATATCTTCGGGCCAGGGCGGGCCTAACCTAACATGAAGAGGCCCGTAAGAAGATGCGGGTTAGGTGTAGTAAATGTGAAAGGGAGGATGGATGTTGGATTTGCACCTGATGGATGATGTGATATATATATATTTGTACGTGGAAATAATTCATTTTAAATATCATCATCTTTTAATTAATATAAAATTTATATTTTTATATATAGTACATTGATCATTAATACTAGAAAAGTCAAATATGATTCTCAACTACGAACATCATAATATTAATTATCAAATTAAGGAAAAAAATTGATTAATGATTTGATTTGATATTGAAAAAAAATTTAATTATATATAGGTTGATTTAATTTTAAAGAACTAAAGAAAAGTTAATTCGGAATCTAATCAATCTGACATTATATGTGTTATTTCAAATTTATATTATGAATAACTTTGGTGTAATTTCTAAATATTACTTATACGTTTATAAATCTAACAAAGCTCAATTCAAAATCAAATCAGTGCTAATGCCAATAAAATAATTAATCAACACTAAGAGCCTGTTTGGCTCAGCTTAAAAGCTAGTCAAACGGACTTAAAAGTTGGTTTTTGACTTATTTAACTGTTTGGCAATACTCAAAATAACTTATTTTAAGTTTAAAAAAACTTATTTTAAGCCAAAAGTTAAAAGCTGGGGTAGGAGTCTTTTTTTAGCTTATAAGTTGTTTTAAGTTGACCACATTTTTATCTTTTTGCCCTTAATATTTTTATACAATCTCCAAATTACCATATAACCCTAACATCTCTTTCTTCCATTTTTTCCTTTTCACGTTTGACATAGCAACTTCAGTACTTTTATCCAAACGCATAACTGCTTATTTTAAAAATAAGTTTCAGCACTTTCAAAAGTACTTTTTTAAAGCTACTTTTATTAAGCCCATCCAAACGGGCCCTAAGAATTCAAAAATGTTGAATATTTTTTCTTTAGTTTTACATTGATTTTGACATTTAAAATATATAATCTAATTTTAATTTTTCTTTAATGTTTAATCATGTAACTAATACTTATCGGACTTATTTTACCATTATTTAATACTTTTAAATTATGATCATTTTCATTATGACTTATCAATTTACAATGTTTATTTTATACAATTTCATTATTATTTTTTCTTGAATATTTTAGTATCATCACTCATCTCATATTTTGTGTTAATTTCTTAAGAAGTACCTCAGATAATTATGTTTTAATTAGACTAAAGAAATACTTGGAGCACAAATTAATTATATGTTCGTATGAATACCTTATCATCCGAGATTTATTAGTTTGATTTAATTTGAAATTTTAAAAATTCAATACAAACAATTTGATTTGGTATTTGAAAAACTCAAACCAACACGGAAAAAACCCAAGGTTAAAAAACCCAAATTTCATTAATTTGACTTTGTTTATAAATTTAAAAATTTGATACAAATGGTTTGATTTAATATTTGAAAAATCCGAACCAAACCCAAATCATATACATCTTAGCCACTTGTGTAAAATAGAACTCTTTTACATAAAAAAAAAAACTCTCTTCTCCTAAGCTATCCACAAATATAGGAGATCTCAAACTTCTATATCTTTTGTTACTCTTTCTCTTTTCTGCTTTTTGCTCTTTCCCTTTCTCTCATTTTGCATTTTCTGTTTCTGGGCTTTACGACTTTCTGCTTTCTCCTCAAACCCATCATCCATCATCTTCATTGATGCAACACGCTTCGCCTTGTAAACCTTCACATGTCACAAAAGTTCATGTCAAGCTAAAAGAATTTCAACCAATCTAAAGGAATCTAAAATTAGTACTGAACACACTTGAGGCGTATTTGGTTTGACAAGTCATTTTCTGGAAAACTAAAAGGTGTTTACTGGTATTTGGTTGCAAACCAGATATTGTTTTGATGTAACACCATTAGGTCAAGGCAAGGATATGAAGTTGAGAGATGTGATAGTTGTGAAAGACAATGACTTTCACCTTAAGTAAAGGGAAGTCATTCTCCCTCTTTTGGAGCAAAATATTTTCCCTGAAGTATCAAGTACCAGAAAATATCTGAAAACTATTTTCTGTCATACAAGAACACGCCCTTTAAGCCTGTCGGTACTCTTTGCCATTTGCATCGAGGTATTTAATACAGGTATTCAAGAATACCTTTTGCGATACCAAATACACCTTTAAGCATGTTGGTATTGTATCAAGGTATTAATACAGGTATTGAAGAATGTTTTCTGCCACACCAAATGCACCCTTTTAAGCCTCTTGGGTACTTATTGCATCAATACAGGTAATCAAAAAATATTTTCTGCCATACCAAACACACCCTTTAATCCTGTGGGATACTCATTGCATAGAAGTATCCAAAGCAGGCAACTAAAACTGACATATCCTAAACTTATTAAATTGGCCAGACATTTTCAAAAAGGGGAAAAGAAGGTATCTGTCTTACCTTTGATATATCATCAAGCACCTCATTCTCTTTACAATCAAATTTCTCCAATTGTTTCCCAAGCACCGCTTCTATTTCATGAATGAGATCCACATCATTCTGCAAGAAATAATCTTTACACTAAGCAAACAAAAGAATAAATTTTAAAGCTTCAAGTCCTAGAAGTTCCTGATTAGTCCTAAGGCAAAAAAAAACATTCATCAAACACAGCAAACATCATTATTGGTGTATACCCTAACACCTTTTCCGTGAAATGGGTAAGTAAGCTTGACGAAAATAAAAGGAAGAGGACTTCACTCAGAGAAAACCAGTACTAATACTGAATCACCCTTATTAGCAACACACCCTTTTGACTAAAGGTCTCTCGATTCAATTTCTTCATTTCCAACTTAAACACACTTCTTTTCTTCTCCCTTTTGGGCTGGACTACAACCCAAAATCTAACTGTCAGGTATTTTTGGTAGACGACATCAATATAACTGTCAGGTATATTGATGAAATGGGTACACGACATGAAGCAACAGATGAGGCCGAGCTTGAGACTGAAGCTCAGCACAAACTCGATATCAAAAGTAAAGCCAAGTTGCGTCCAAGAACTTGAAGGAAAAAAAGAAGATTAGGAGGCAAATTCGAAAGCAATGAAGCTCACTCATGAATTGAATTGGAAAGAAGATGAGCACGATGTAGCGAAACAATTCTATGAAGCAATCGAGTCAAAACTAAAGGAACAAGAGACTGCTGTCAACCATTTAAGCTAACTTGAAAAGCTTTGTGCTGACTATGCTGAGATGCTTTGAAAATGTGAAGAAAATAGCCGGTCAGCAATGGCACTAGATGGTGCTAATGCAACCAATATCAATCAAGAACAATATATCCATCCTATCAAACAAGAAATTGAGAGGCTAAGACCTGCGTAGACTTCACAGAAGAAAAAGGCATCAGAAGCTGATAGGTGAGCCAAAGCAAGAAAATACTGAGAGATAATGATGAATGCTACTGGAAATGGATGATGAAAACAGGAAGTTTGCAGATCAAGTAAACAAAAGGAACAGTGCAGTCATCTAGAGGATGCTCATGGCAAGCTCAGGCAACAACTTCAAAATTGTGAAGAAGAGAATAAAGGGCTGGTATTGCCTTTAGATGGTGCTAATTCAGCAAAACTTCTCACCTGAGTAACAAAGCTGACAGCAAGTCCACCTCGTCCAGCTCTTGCAGTACGTCCAACACGATGAACATAATCCTGTGGATACCTGCAGTAAACAATCACTACATTTATAATGTTAACATCTTTTAAATTAACTTGTAATGGAAAGATCCAACCATATTCGCACCTTGGAATGTCATAATTTACCACCAGATCAACTGTTGGAATGTCTAAACCACGACTCGCGACATCAGTAGCGACCAATATTGGGACCTGCCCAGATTTGAATTTATGAAGAGCAGAAAGCCTCAGTGACTGGGACTTGTATGAATGCAATGCAGCAGCATCAATTTCGAGTTCTTCCAACAACAAGCCCAAAAGCTGACAACTCCTAGTCAAAATAGTAAAACATGACTGTGAATGTACAGAAAGCATTCTTTTATTTTTTACGATTGATAAGTAAAGCATCAACGAGTACTGTCACCTCTAAGATTATGATACTTGTTCGAACGTTTGAGACCTCCTAAAAGCTTGTGCTATTAGAGAGAGTCAAGATGCATTAATTTATTTAGATAGGTCTCAAACGTGAATTCTCTGCTTTTCATATTCTCGACTGTTAGTCTGACAAACATTGCATGCCACAGCAGAAGAATAGAAACTATCATTTAGTAGAGTAATGCTGAAAAGAAAACACACATTTTTCCTGTTTCCATATACTCTCAGTTCCTTCTGTTCTCAGATATATCTTTCTCGTACTACATGTGTAACTTGAATGTCGTATTTTATACAATTTTCATCCATCACACAAAAGAGAAGCTAAGAAATGAACAGTGTATTCATGTATCTTTGCACATTCTCTTTAAGAGTGTTTTCTGTATGATGGAAAATAAGTGAATTTCTTACTTATTTTCTTGTGCTCGGTATGTAAGCAAAAATTATAGTCCTGAAGGATGTGAATATAGCCTAGACTAGACAAATACTATGGGAGGTGACTGGTGGGGAGGGTAGGGGTGTGCGGTGGTGGGAATGGGGGTGAAGATAAGGTGTGCTGGAGATTGGGAAGGACATAAGCACGAGGGAAGTCATTTTCCTCACTTATAAAGAACTTGTTTTCCTAGAAAAAGAAATTTCAAAAATTTTAATCAACCGAACATCGAAATTGTAAATTGTTTTCTGGTAAATATTTTCCCCCATACCGAACACACCCAGAGTCTGCTAATAAACCTCGCAACTACCAAATTTGCTGACCATATCTACACCTAATTGGTCAATATGACTAAATAACTGTATAAATCCTAGCTTATACAGTTGGGGAGAAGTAAGGGTGGGAGCTGCAGATAGAGATAGATGGAGGATTGTCCCAGCCTGTATTTGGTGGACTGTTTGGAAAGAAAGAAATGCTAGATGTTTTGGGAGCAAGAGTTGTGATCTTCAAAAGATTGTATCAGGATCTTTTGTTTCTGGTGCAACCAAAAGTATTTAGAGGACATTGAATCCATTATTGATATCCTAGGTTCCTGTTAGGATTCAGATTCAGTTTTTTTACTTTTTGACAAGCTGTAAATATGGTTTAGTGCAACCCAAGCACTGGTTTCAATGAATATACACAATGTTACCTTCTCAAAATAAAAAATAAAAAATCCTAGCTTATCTTTTATCAGCAAGAAGTTTCCAATCAGAAAAAATGAAAAACATAGAGTAATGCAAATATCATTTACCAAGAGGAATGTCAGAGTCACCGACAAATGAAACTTTTAACATAACAGTTGGACCTTTACATAAGCTACAGACAAATCCCCAGTCAATAATTAAAGTTGTGACCCTGTGCATAGTTAGACAATAGAATTGTAATGGGAGTCATATTTTGACTATCCTTCCACACATGCAAACCACTCAAAAGAATTTTCATATGAAGCTACAATAACCTGAATAAAGCATGTGACTGTTCAATATTTATTGGATTGATAAGATATCCCTAGTGGTAATGCTTTAATCTTTTCTATGACTACATAAGAGAAATTTTAATTAGTAAAATGAGTCTAGGGATTCAGAAATAATTCTACCTGCAGGTGGAAACAAAAATAATTGCAGAGCGAACGTCTATATCTTTGATTTTGGATAAAATGTATTGCAGATAGACATCCTTCACATTTTTCGGAATAAAAATGTACTGCTGCTTAAGTGATTCTACAGTCTTGAATCCCTCATATGCCTCATAGAAATATGCTTTGTTTGCAGAAAGCTCAAGTAGCGTCTGCAGGTTGCTAGTCATTGTTGCAGAAAACAGAAGAGTTTGTCGATTCTTTGGCAAACACTGAAAGATTGCTCTCAACTCCTCTTCAAAGCCTACGTCTAGAACTCTATCTGCTTCATCCAAGACAAGGAACTGAAAGGCAACATACAAATAAGAGTTCACAATTGAAGAGAATCCATTCTCTGCATTTTCAAATATTAAACTAACGGTACAGTAAAGGAGCCTGACAGGAACATGGGACTTTAAGTAAATAAATTCACCCTTCAGGATATGATGCCAGCCATAAAAACATAAAACACATAAAACAAGGAAAATGATTGTTGCTCTTCTTGTCTCCATGAAAAATAAAGTGTCTAAAACTTCATTTGTTAGTCCTGGCCCTTATGGAAAAAGATTTCAGAGGGCTCAAAGATGATCATTACACAAATTCGGAACTTATTTTTTTGCAAAACCTGCCTTGTTGCTATTTTGCCTGTGAAGCTCTACGAGTACTTTTGTGTACCCACATATCAAAATGATTCTCGTACATGAATTATCAAAGAGATAAAAAGCTTTTTTGTATTATTTTTGACAAAAACTAGTACTGTGACAGTGCACTGATTATACAAATCTTCCGACAGGCATCTTTAAATGAAATCTCCTTTAAAATGTACCCTTTGGACCTTAGTTCATCTCAATTTATTCTTTCCTCTCAAAAATAGTTTCTTTTAGCTACAATAATGGAATTCTAAGAACTAAAAAGAGCTCGAGCTCTTAGTTTTTACCTTAGTTTTGCTGAAAACTGGGGGAATATCAGGATTCTGTTCAATGAGAACCTTAATCCTTCCGGGAGTTGCTATCACCACATGAGGTCTTTGCATCAGAGTCTTAGTCTGGGTTATCATATCCATTCCTCCCACAATCACAGCACACCGCAAATTCAAGCAGGATCCCAGGGCCCGAAACTGCTCGGCAAGCTGAAACGCAAGCTCCCGTGTCGGAGTAACCACAAGACAGGACACCCCATAAGGATCTTCAGCTAAACGATGAAGAATAGGCAATGCAAATGCAGCTGTTTTTCCACTACCAGTCTGAGCTAAACCTAACACATCCTGTCCGGAGAGTATTCTGGGTATACAGTGATATTGTACAGGAGTGGGTTTCTTCATGCCCAGCTCATTACAGGTCTGTACAGCCCACCCGGCGAGGCCTAAGTCAGAGAAGGTGATATAACTAGGGGTTGGACCAGAGTTAGTCTCCTTGTCAAGCTGCTTTGGGGTTTCTTCAATGGAGGTTGGAGCAGGAACGAGTTTTTTTGTGGCCGGTTTAGTTTTCCGGGAGAATAAGGGAAAATTCTCATCCACTTGGACTTCCTCTTCCATTGTATACAGAACTCAACTAAGGTAACTGTTATTAGGGTTTCAAAGAGAAATTCCGTTAGACTCTGAGAAAGTTGCGGTTATCGGAGAGAAGACAGTGCCGGAGACAGAGATGGAAGACGGCGGCTTTCAGTTTTCAGAGCTATAAATGGGCCGATTTGGAAAAGCCCAAATAAATCTATTAATTTGGGTTTAAGTCAAATGCAACCCTATTTGAACACTAAAATAGATATCAAATATCGAACCACAAAATAATTCACTTTCACATACGAATAGAACCACAAAATAATTCACTTTCACATATGAACCACAAAATAATTCGCTTTCACATACAAATTGAACCACAAAACAATTCGTTCACATACGAATCAAACCACAAAATAATTCACTTTCACGTACAACTACAATAGCTACTTGACTTTTGTTTAGTCGTATTACTACAGTAGTTTCTCGTCATTTGAGTTTAGTCATTATAGTTGAATCTAGTTAGGATTATTGTTTAGAATGTTTATCGATCTTGACTATCTTTGTTTTATTCTTTCTCTACACCTTCAGACCATAGTTTATGGATTAAACAACATAGTTTGTTGTATATGATCTTAAACATAAACTAATGTATTGGATAATAAACTTGAAACTATATTAAGCTACGAATAAGTAACACTAAAAATGTGACCTAGCGATCAATAAAATTAATGAGAAACGTAAGAGACTACTCAAATGAAGATCCCCCCAGAAGTTCAAAAAATGCAAAGTCATAGGGCTGAATCAGTTTCAATATCATTAAACGAAACGAATTTCTGAATAAAGCACGATTCTTCTTACTACTGCTGTTAGCTTTTGCTCCCAACTATTTTTACATTGAACATCTAATCTACACAACAAAATCTATTACTCATGATACACCAACAAAACTCATCAGGAACAAGCAAAAGTAGAAAATAAAAATAAACAAAGTTGTAAATCATTCCTCAAGAGGTCTTCGCAGGCCACAGTATATAGCTTTTCGAACCAGAGGATGAGTATCTTCAGTTAGTACCTCAGCATCCAGCTTCTCAATATGCTGCCATATCTGTACATCACCAAACAAATTAAACAAAGACCACGATAAGAAATTGTAGCGGTTAGGTTGCAGCATGAAAGTAATTCACACATTAAGTAGGTAGCTGCAGTTTTGGGTTCTTTCGAGTGAACTTTTTTCACCAAGATGTGGTTAGAGTAGGTGCCTAAGTTGTGGTTAAGAGTGACATCAACCCATTACTTTAGGAACTTTACAAAAATGGGTTAATTTCACTCTTAACCAACACTTAAGCACTTTTTTCACCAAAAAAAGAGCTCACGCATCAATTTGGCTGATAAAAGTAATCGTAGCTGGTATCATCTATGTTACTAGGATCCTCGGCAAATACACAGTTTATGGAGGATCCGACAAACATCTATCAACACTTTTTAAGAGTCTAAGCAACATATGCAGAAATAGGTCAGATATTGTTTTTTGCTACATGACAAGTCAATGAGTAATTACCTCTGAAGCATATTGCCTAGTGAAGGCTTTGAGGTAACCCAGAGTTGTTAAACACCATTGCTGTTTTTCATCAAGATTATAGCCCTTTCTTTCTCCGCTCCCATTCGGATGGCTGTAACTCGCCCACATAAAAGAGAAGAATAATTAAAAATCATCAAGGACAAAGGAAACCAGAAGAAAAAACACAAAATAAAATCTTGTCCTAATAGCATCAGAATGAGAGTAATCAATGGATACACCACCTTTTCTTTGATCGTTCGTCATCCTTGTCTAACTCCATTACTGAAGAATCTTCAAGGTCAATGGTCATATCATCTACATGACCAGAGGGCCGCAAGGTTCCATCTCTGGATGCATCATGAAGGGGTTCCGCTAAAGCAGTCAAGAAGCTTTTATACAGTGAAAGAAACAAAGCCTGTAAATATATTTTTGTCAGCACTTGGGCCCTCATTCCAGATCCAAGATATGATACAAGTCTATACAAGTCAATTTTAATTCATCTATATTCACGAATCACGACCAACATCAAATACCTCAATTTCATCAACAGCTCGAGCAAGGAGAGCTTCCTTTGCTTCTAAAGAATCACGAACAGATACCTCCTCTTCTTTTGCTTTTTCAGCATATGATTTCAGCCGTTTTATTCTTACAGGGTTTTCACCAAGAACAGGTTCCCCATCTATGACACTCAGCTTAGACTCGGCAGATTCTAACTCTTCTCTGGCTCTAGATGCAGCTTTTTCAGCCAAGACAACACTTCTCTCAAGGGATGAAATCTCTTTTCTCAGATCAGAAATCCGATTATACGTCTTACTGACAGCATTCCTGAGGATCTACAGCCACAAAACACTAAATAATGATTCATAACTCAAACTAGATTATAACAACGCCGGAAGTAGTGTTGGAGAAGAGAAGAAAAACAAGCAAGCAATGCAGAGGGAGCCCAACAGCGTATTACAATAATCAGGCAAGAAAACAAATTACAGGTTTCCATTAAAAAAAGGGGGAAAGGATAAAAACATTGAGCCCAAAGAGTTCCAACTTACAACTGAGGGTTAATTCATAAGATTCCCCCCACCCCCTGTCCCCATACAAATTTGGGGAATATCCTTTGCACACCCTAAATACATGGCCAAACCTTATATACACCATAACTTGAAAAATCCATAGCTAATACTCCACAATTTCACCACATAGCAAGGGCATTTATTGCCAAAACTTCTAGTGTCTGAAGGGCTAAATTTAAAAAATCTGAGACAAATTCAACGGCTCATATTTGATCAAATGGCCTAAACATTTTCATTTTCTTATTTTTGATCAAGTAGGCTACATCTACTCCACCAACATCATCCCCACCCAGCACCGCCACCTACTCCATATCAGCTCCACACTCTTCTCCATGCCTTTCTCCCGAGCCTCTACCACCACCAAAACCTCGATCACATGCTCCAATTCAAGAAAAGACAAAATACCCCCAATGTTTTTATTGACATCTATTCACTCTTTCAGACCAGAAACCCACATAAACAAAGAACCACAGAAATGAATCCAACTGTGAAGACAAAATCAAGATAAGCCAACAAAAAGCCTTTTGACCATATTATTTTTCTACTGCGCTAGGTGGCATGATCAGATGTAAGAGCGATCTTCAACATACAACAACAAAAAGAAAGCTTATATCTGTTGTAAACATGGGAAGTTCAGCCCCAGAAGAGGGACATAACTATTGTAGAGCAAGGAGTGGTGGTATATTTCGAAGATGGTGGTTTTATTGGTGGAGGCTGTGACAGGGCGAACCAGATGGAGGAGAAAAGTGGTAGTGGTAGAGAGGAGTAGATGGTAATTTTGCAAGAAAAATAATTTGGATTGTAACTAATAAAGTTACGAGCAAGGGAGAGCTTTTTAGTTTTTTTTTTAACGTAACGAGGTGTTTGTTTCATGCCTTCCAAGCTTAAAAGTGTCCAAGGTAAAACCATTAGGTACTTGCTACAAATATATGTGTATAATGTCGTTCATGTATTGACGTGTGTAAAAGGAAGATCTGTACAAGTTGGAGGGGTATGTATTACTTAGACACGAGAGCTTACAAAGCACACAACACAAAAGTACGTGGGTAAGTTTTAGAAAGAGAACATACACTGAGTTTTCAAAAGGAGAATGAGAATAAATATGCCTCTAAGTAAATGACTTCCCACTAGTTAAATCAGGTAATTTACCTCCCACGAACTGTCAGAAACATGAAACCGATCAAGATTCAGTGGAGAGAAAACCCATCTCACTATGGCCAAATTAGATATAAGCCGATAACTCATCATCCGGTCGATGGCAATAGCTGTCATTTGCGCACTGTTTTGCCAGTAAGAACTTACTTCCGTAATCAGCTTAACTTGTTGATCATCATCAGTACACATCTTTGCAATGACTTGGCCATATCTCTCCAAGACAGTAATCAAATGAGTAAAGCTTTTTGATCCGATGTCGAGAAGTGTTTGAACAACAACTCCAAGGGTAATATCAAACCCATGGGCTGGAAAAACATTTTCTTCTACCCAGGAGATCATTTCCCGCGCAGTTTTCCTACCTTTCACCATGTCCTTGAGTTCTAAAGAAAGTGCACGCTCAGTTGGATCAGTACCATCTTCCGCACTATATTTAAATTGTGGTCCACCTCTTGGTGGAAGTAGCTCCTCCAAAGCAGGGGCATTCTCAATGCTCTATAGAAAATGAAAGAAAGTAGAAATATATAAACTGCACTAAAAGAAGCGCAAGGAAATAGATTATTAATTCTTCCCGGAAAAAAAGAAGACAACATCACTAACTTATTTCTAGTGTTTACTCCATCTAAAAATTATCTAATGATATATAGAGGTAAGATAAAGATCAAAAATATTTTCCTAGAGAACATGTTCATGTAGTACTTCAATTATCAGCCTGAATAGAAGCAAAAACCTTTAACTTTAACTTACAGAATATCTGCTTCTAAATTGATACTCATAGAAGTATCACACAGTAAACATTATTCATTATTACTTGATGCAATTCAGTCTTGGATTTGTTTGAGCAACCCATTTTATCTTCAAGTGAATCTTGTTCACTTTTGTCTAAATCACCTAAAGGAATGTTGTGAAATCAGGCCAACGTCTACCTAAACTCACGCAATATTGCTTTTAGCTATAAACTTCACATGTTTACAGGTTAAACAAAAATGAATATCAATGCTTGTATATTGACACCCCCGCAACCCCACTCAAGAAAAAGGGAATCATATCAAGCAAACTAATTCATTTGTCTTGCAACATTTCAAATTGATTTTAAGCTCTATTGCTTTGAAGAGTGGAGAAACAAAGTTAATGGAAAATTATAAACTATGTGAAAGAAATAAAATATGTTTAAATAATATTATAAACCCATTGAGGAAACTTTTAAAGCTTTATTGTATGTCCTCTTCTATGGCTGAAGCAAGTGTTACCAAGGATAAAAATGGCATATCATAGAAGGTAACTCGAAAGAATTGAAAATATAGATTTGTCCTAGCTGTTACGAGTTGGTGAAATTCTTTCAAAAAGAAAAATCAATACAATTGCCATGGAAATAA